GAGAGAGAGAGAGAGAGAGAGAGAGAGAGAGAGAGAGAGAGAGAGAGAGAGATCTGTGTGTAGTGTGTGTGAGCAATGCGTGGTGTATGAGTGGTATGTGCGGTTCTGTGGGTATGATATGGGTGTATTGAGTGCATGTGTGTAGTGTGTGGTGTGAGTGGTGAGGTGTATGTGAGTTGTGTGTGTAAGTGGTTTTTATATGTGTGATGTGTATTTAGTGTGTGCGCATGGTGTGTATGTGTGGTGTTGATGCAGGATTTTTTTATGTGTGTGTGTGCGTGTGTGTATGTGTGTATTTGTATGTATATGTACATGCCGGGATCGTGGTCTCGCAGCACTGGAGAATGGAGACATGGGCCAAAGAGGAAAAATTTGCAACAGAGGACAGTTTATTAGAGCAGAAAGTAACAGTTATCAAAACGAGATGGGGTCCCGACTGGGGTGCCCGCTAGTTAGGGCAAAGGGTTTTGTTTTTGTACCTTCTGTATGTCTGGGAAGAGGAGCTGGCTGGCGCCTTTTGGCACTGCATTTGTTGTTCAGCCCGGAGGAGGTGTTTCCTCAAAAAAGCTCTAATTTCCTTAGAGCTAAATTTACTTAATTATTTCTCTGTTCTTAGAGAAATAACTTAGCTCAAACCTGGGACTTCCAAAGGCGAAGTCTGAGGCTTTAAGGATATGCATTTTACCTGAGGGTTTCTGACCAATGTTATGCTAATCAACCTCCCTGAAGATATGCATTCTACCTGGGGATCCCTGATTTGGAAAAAGAGGCCTTTCTCCTCCCCCACCTGGGCTTGTCACTCTGGTGGGTCCTGTGACTTAAACCTATCTGTCAGTTAATAAATTATTTCCCTTGCTTTGTTATGGTTTCCACCGAGTCCCTCTACCGTGGCAATCTCCCTGATTGCCTATAATTTTCCTATCTCAGCGTGATGGGTGTATTTTGCTGGGTGTGAGTTGCAGTGTGTGTGTGTATGTGTGTATTTGTATGTATATGTACATGTATCATAAAGACGCTGACAGGAGTGCCCTAGCCTGTGTGCCACACAGTATATGTGGTGTGTATATGAGTGGTGTGGGTGTATTGTGCTGTGGTGTGTGTGTAGCATGTATGTGTAATGTGTGGTGTGAGTGGTGTATGTGGTTTGTGTGTGAGTGGCGTGTTTGTGTGTGGTGTACATCGGTGTGTGTATGTGTGTGTGGTGTGTGTGTAGTGTGTGTGTATTGTGAGTTGTGTGTGAGTGGTATGTGGTGTATGTGTGTAATGGGTTTATTTTTTTGTGGTGGGTGTGTTGTGTGTAAGTGTGTGTATATGTGTGGTGTGATGGGTGTATTGTGCTGTGGTGTCTGATGTGCTGATGTGTGTAGTGTTGGGTGTGTTGTATGTATATTGTGGTGTGGTGGGTGCCTTGTGCTGTGGTGTTTGTGTGTGTGTTATGATGTGTGTGTTCACATGCAGCAGCAATGTAAAAGCCGTGTGCCAGGTGGGACAGGAAAGAACAGCTTTTCCTTGCCCTCACTGCTGGGGCCTGACCAGGGGGGCTGCATGGAGGTGCTGGGACCTGGCCAGGTGGGTTTGGGGGTGGTGAGCTTGCTGGTCAGCTGCTGTTGTTGACTGTGGGTGAGGGTGGGTAACTGGCATGGCCACTGACTTCTGTCACTGGGACACAGAGCCTCCACTGTGCTGCTGCCCCAGCCCTGGGGTCCTCAGCAATGCCCGCCCCCTACACACACACTCCACACTTCACAGTGGACTTGGTAGACAAAGCATGGAGCGAAGGGTCTGTGCCATTGGCAGGTGGGCTGGCAATGGCAGGCAGGGTAGAGCTGAATCTCCCATAAGAAGTGCTATTTCCCAGAAGGCCAGGCCCCAAGCACATGGTCCTCGAAGTTGATGGGTAAGTGGCTGGAGGAAGATGGTTCTGATTAGCTCTGGAGTGGCTCCCTGCATGTCCTCAGGGGGCTGTCACCAGATAGGGCACCCTGTCCACAAGGAGAGACTGTGGGGGTACTAACACGGAGCCGACTTTAATTGTGCATGTTTTGCCCCAGAAGGGAACAGGAAGTGGCACATTTGTTGATAGCCAGGTGTTTGGGCCCAGTTTGTTTGAAGTGATCTGATCCCCTCAGAGATAAGAATTTGAACTAGAAAATACACAATTTTCCTTTGCACATATTTCCCACTAGGTGAAAAGGACTCTTGGTTTTTATGTAGGGAGACAACGAAGACCCTGCTGAGGGGGGAGGACTGGGATGAGGTGGTAACCCAGCCCCGCTCACTCACCTTCTGCTCTCTCCCAGGTGCCCTCTGTCCCTGAAGAACCCACAGAGCCTTGGAGTGGTGGACTTCGCCAAGGTCTGCAGGTCTGTGTCCTAGGAAATCGGGGCCGCAGGTACACCCACGCCCATTGTTTCAGTACATGGCATCCTGCTGACAGTCTCACAGACCCATCACTCTCATCAGGCATTGTTTCAACTTGATTTTATTGTAGATCCCTTCACACGTACTTGTAGATTCTTTAGCTCACCGCTGTGGGTAATTTTCTGATTTGATGGGGTAAACCTTTGTGGTGTACTTTGAGTCTTCACAGATTTCAAGGTCTTTCCTTTTGCTCTCACACTTTACTGGTAGTTTGGCTGTGTCTATTGTTGTTCAAAGTACTCTCTGAATGGGAAGAGTTTTAAATTCTACAAAGCCTGGAGCCAGTTACCACTTTTAGGCGTCCATATAGTATAGGTCAGTGGTTCTCAACCTTCCTAATGCCGCGACCCCTTAATACAGTTCCTCATGTTGTGGTGACCCCCAACCATAAAATTCTTTTCGTTGCTACTCTAAAACTGTAATTTTGCTACTGTTATGAATTATAATGTAAATATCTTTTTGTTTTCCGATGGTCTTAGGCGACCCCTGTGAAAGGGTCGTTCCACTCCCAAAGGGGTTGCGACCCACAGGTTGAGAACTGCTGGTATAGGTAATCTTGTTTTTTTTACAACTCCTTTCTGGCTCTTGAAGCAGACTTTAGGTGTAAAGTCTTGAATCTCCTTGAAGTACAGACACATTTTCACCTTTTTGTTTGTTTGTTTCTTCTCTTACATACTCTCCATTGCCTCTTGTGCAAAATCCTAATAGGTAACATTGTGTCTCCACGTCAGTTAAATTTTCTGTCCTAATTATGACTTCTTCACCTCTCTGTTCCCAGATATTTCCTGACTACAGGACTTTGACTTCTGGCTATGTCTTTTCTGTTGGTTGGTTTACAGCTGAATGTTGTTTTAATTTGGGAATCATGTTTTTATACAAATACTACCTTTGTGTGTTCTCTTCTCCCCACTCCCTGGTACCCTGGTCTTGTTTTATAAATGTGATATTATCGCAGGTCTCCCTGAGATTTTCATGTAACCCAAGGAAGCTCAGGGCCACTGCGGCCCCATGTCCATGTGGTGTCACACCCAGAGTACCAGAGTGGACAGCAGCTAAAATCTGCTCTTAGGAAAATTCCCAAGGGAATTCACAACTCATAAGAGTCTTTGAATATTTTCCAACAAATGTCTCTTCCCAAAGAAATACAGTTTTATCAACTACATTTTCTGCTCATTTTAGTCTAAAGGGACATGAAGGGCTCTGCACAGCGCATAATGTGGCAGAGTTTTCTAAAAGTCCCCCTGTAGCAGCTGTGAAACTTCGTCCCCCCTCCCCCACACTCTCACCATTCGGTGGTCTCCTCAACACCATGTGCTTTCCTTTCCCAGTGGCTTCTGCCCACCTGACTGGACAGAAGGGGCCACAGTCCCTCCCAGCCACTATACTGGGTGACACCAGGATGCTCGGAGGGCGGCAGGCCTTCCCTGTCCCGGGAGAAGGACTAACACAGAACTCTCTGGAAATGTGGTCTCTGGTTCTGTGCTTAAGGGGAGCTTTCAGGAAGAATTCTGAGGGCAGATTTCAGTCGGATACACACATTACCAGGTCACAGCAGCATACTCTGCTTTCCCTGCATGGCCTCAGTTTCCCCAGGGCGAGGGCCTTGTGTTTATGTGGATTTTCCACCCACACTGACGGGTCTTCAGATAGTCTGTGCACTTGCTGCAGACTGTCCCCTGCCAACATCTGGGTCCTGCTGGGTGGGTGCCCCTTCCATTTTCCACAGCTGCATGGTGGCTGTGGCTCGGGTAGGTTCCTCAGGCCTGCCTTCGATCCCCCATGGAGGGCTCCCTGTCCACTATGGCCCAGCCCTGGCAACTCTGCCACCAACAGCCGACCCGGGGATTGCCGGGTGGTGGGTTTCTGCCCCTGGGGTCTCCCAGCCATAGGCTGGGAGCAGAAGGCCCATGGTCTGCCATGTCCCCCCCCCGCCCGTCTTGCAGATGGACTGCTGTCGCAGGAGCCACACACAGGTCATCCCAGACAAGGTGACCAGCATGGCGAAGGGGACATTGCCACCTTGCTGGTCCAGAGTGAATGGCTGGTCGAAGCCCCTCCATCCCTTCCAGGTGGTGGCTTGGACCGTATTTCTGATCTTGGTCTTGGCTACATTTTGTGTCTTTATACCCATGCTGCCCCGTGAGTGGCAGTACATTACCTACACTGTATCCTTCTACAAGGGAAGCATCTGCCTGTGGTCTGGCATGGGGCGGGGCCACGGCAGGTCTCTTCGGGCAGAGGGGCTCCTATGCCTGCCGCCACACTCCCCCTCTGTGCTCTGTCCTCCACACTGAGTCACCTGCAGGTGTCTTCTCTCACTCCCCACTCCTCACCCTGAACACCCCTTTGTCACCGAGCCTGAACCCCCCCACACACATCCTGTTCTCTGTGCGGCTCACTGGCCTGGGGTCCTGGCTAAACATGCAGACGCTCATACTTCGGGACCCAGTTCATCTCCTCACTGTGGGTCTTGCTCACGTGCTGGGTTATAACCCATCATTTCCTTTCTCTTTGGTCCCATGTCCTTGTCCTGGGGTGGCGCAGAGACAAGGCTGGGCTCATCTTACTTCCTGCCCACACCTGCCCTGGCCGTCCCCACACCAGGGACTCAGCGCCCACCCTGTGCTGCCCCCTCTCCCCCCACCCCAGGGAAGCGCAGTGCTGGTTTCCCTGACTGTCCAGAACTCAGCTGCTTTTGGACACATTTTCCTTCCACTCTCCTGCCGCTGGCCACGCCCTGCCCCATGTCCGTCAGGCCTCTGCAGATGCACTTGGGCGCTATGGTCTGGCCACTGGGGAGCGCCCGCATCACTGGGCACCTGCAGGGACCCTGGCCTGCCGCCCTGTGGAGGGAAGGGCCGGGTCCCCCAGTGGAAGCAGGGAACGGACAGCGAAGGGTAGACGTCAACGTCCAATATTGGCGACCCCTGAATCAGTGCTGCTCTTGGCTGTCTGATCTGTACAGGGCATTGTGCCCAAGGCACTGGAATCGGATGGAACTTTATTAACCTGACATCATGTGTTGTGGCCAGAAGCAAAGTGAACTAGGGCACATGGTGGAGAATCTCCGAGTGAGTGAGGACAGTGAAACTGGGCTGTGACTCCAGGCCTGGTCAGGCCCCAGGGCTTGACTGTGGCCGTGGGAGCCCTGCTGTGGCCCCTGCCCCTCCTCTCCTTGTGGCAAGCAGGAGAGGTCAGCAGTGAGAGGGGTGTGTCCTGGGCAGGCCCGGCATGCTGTTCATTTACTAAACACAGATTGTTGCTAGGGGACCTTCTAGCCTGTCCTCAGAACAGCTCCCAGGGAGCCTCAGGGCAGGCCAGGTGCCTCCTGATTTGTAGTGAAAGTGTGACCCTGAATCCTTTCCTTTTTCTCTTATTAGGAACTTGAACCTGAGACACTGCAGGTAGAAATGTCTCTGACAGTGAAAGCAGAGCACCCGAGGGTAGCACCTGCCCTGTGATCTTTCCATTCTAGGGGCCCAGCCCACCCTCAGTGAAGGTCACCAAATGTGAACCACCAGGTCACCCTGGGCTAAATGTGGCTGACTTTTGCTCAGTGATGTCATTCCCGTGGGTGACCTGCGTGTCCAGGGCCGATGTAGACTGGGTTGAATGTTGCATTATAGCCAATTCCGTTACCACCCCCCTACA